AGTTTTTTTTCTCGTATGCCCCGCCTGTGGAACTCCCTTACGTTTACCTGCTTCATTGGTAACTACAAACTTCAAAAATTTAAATGCAACGTCAATCGCCACCTTCTTGAATGCTGTTCATCTTTTATGCTTTCTTCAATCCCTCTGTATCCAGTCTTTTCACTAACTTTCACTGTCACCTGTGTACTAGTGGCATTACGCCCTTGCTTGGGGTGAAATGATTAAAAAAACCCACAAAAAAACAAATACTACGATGAAAAACGACGAAAAAAAGGGGCGCTAATCAGCTATTTCAGCAAAAAATCCTTCTAGTCAATTTCCATTAGTTTTTGAAATACAGCAATGTACTTTGATTATAGGGAATACTAAAATTAATCTATTAGCTTGAAATTAAAAGCTTCCAGAAAGATTTTTTTCATTATTAAAATTCGTTTCAAACCTTAGGTATAACGCTTTTTGTGGAGGCCTCTAGTTTAATCACTGTCTCATCTTCTTGGCAATAACTTCTCTACATTTAACCTTTCTTATTTATCCTTCCTTGGAAGCCTATCGATTTTGGAATAATGGTTATCAAGTGTCTCTAGTTGAATCTTAGTCTCGAGGCTGATCCTTACTAGTGTCTCATACTTGCGACCATTGTTCCAAGCTAAACTTAATAAATATTTAGGGCAATGGATTCCTTTCCCAGGTCAGTTAATCTTAGTATTAGTTTGTTTGTGTTTTAATTTTAAATTAGGTTAACTTAGCTAGGGAAAGCATGGCAGTGAATTTTGGACATTCTTTCCACAGACGAAGAGAAGGCTGGAGGCAACAAAAATATAGTTCTATAGGGAAAATGCCGACAATTTCATAGACAGAGTGCGTAAGTCACGAGGAAAATGGAAACTAAAAAGGCATCTGCGAAGAGACAACTGAAATTTCTTGGGCCTATGAATGAAGAAAGAGAGTTTGGAGAAACTTACCCTTGTGGAGCATTTCGAGGTCAAGAAGAGGGGAAGTTAGCAGGTCAACTACGAATTGAGGTGAATAAATTATGGAGGGGGGAGGATTGGAGTAAATTTACATATCGTGGGCAAAATGGAATAGGGGAATTCAGCAGACCAAATACTTGGGAAGTTTATGTGAATAGATGGCTAAACTGAGAGGCTTGGAGAATTTTTCTCTTCCACAGCATATCGAGGGCAAGAGAAACAGGGTAAGTCAGCAGGCCAACTACTTGACGGGGTTATGTGAATAGATATCGGAACGGGGGGATATTTTACACTCATAGAGGATATCGGGGGCGAGATAAACAGGGTAAGTCAACAGGCCAACTACTTGACGGGGTTATATGAATAGATATCGTAACGGGGGGTGGGGGTGGAGAATTTCACACTCATAGAGGATATCGGGGGCGAGAGAAACAGGGTAAGTCAGCAGGCCAACTACTTGGCGGGGTTATATGAATAGATATCGGAACGGGAATTCTTGGAGAATTTTACACTCAAAGGATATCGAGGGCAAGAGGAAGAGGGTAAGTCAGCGGCTCAACTACTTGACGTGTTTATATGAATAGATGGGGGAACATGGAGGCTAGGCAAAATGACGAAGTCTGTTAAGAGCAACAAGGGCTAGGGTGTTGTGAAGAGCGATGATCGCCCACGTACAAAAAGGACACGTCACGTAGAAGATGAACACAGTATGTATGGTCAATGGTCCTGTTTTGCTTTTATTTAGTACACTATATATCAGTTACTGACTCCCAAACCAATTCGATGACAGATGTTATATTACTATAGAGCATTGTTTCCCAATCTTTTTTTTTTTTTATTCTGGGCCACATTTTCGGAATTACAATTTGCTTGAACGTCACCAAATTTTACATGATAAAAAAGTACATTTGAAAACAAAAAATAAAACAGCCAGAAGGTTAAAGGGAGATAACCGCTGATTAGATATCAAGACATTAATATTGATAACACTCTCCTCCAATTTGCGGATTCTAATTACTATATTTTTAATACTTGATATAATGCAAAAATATCACAGTGAGAAAATCTGTCAATAATTATTTGTAACTGGGACCCATGCAAGCAGTTACATGTAATCCATAATAATACTTTAAATTTTGAAATCATATATATTTTTGGCATATGAATTTTTTGAAACTGTTTCTAAATCTTTGATTGTCTTTCAGTCAATCCATCTCACCTGTTATCCTCTTCGACTGCGCCTATGAGGCGCTTTGCACCGCTTGGGAACATCTGCTCTAGAGACATAGAAATGTCTTTATGTTGTGGAGTGATTTCACAGTAGAGGCTTGTATTGGTACTAAGTCGGTCCTAAAATAGGTTCGACGTACAAAACGTTAGGAACTTGATATAATAGGTAATGACGCAGAGTAATCTAATTGTGGTCGCTGATACTTTCGAATTCGACTAACGGTCGTCCGACATCGACTGACTGAAAGACTCACTGACCGACTCGTTACTCTTACTACTCCTACTTATAGGTGGGAGAGTCTATTAACTATAGAATAGGTGGGTTTCCACTATAACACTTTATTTATTTATTTTTCAGCCATGTGGCGTGGTGGGGGTTCACATAGTAACTTTGGTTTATTTCTGTAAATATTTTTCGTAAATGATATTTCGTATCATTTAAATCCACGGGAGAAAATTGTAAAATATGAATCGTTTGATTTTTTTCATCACTGGGTGCGTGGGTGTTGGATTGAAATTTTTAGTCTACTGCGTGTGAAGTTTTGGTTACAATTGCATGAACGATCACGAACTGGTCTTAAGTTGTGGTTGGGGGAATGAATGCAAAGTGTTTGAGTCAGTGAATGAGGCTGGCTAGATTAATGTTGAGATGGAAAAGAAAAAAACCTACTCCCACATAATTTGCGAACTTGTTTTTCTTTTTAGTAAAAACAAAACAAAACAAATAAACAACATTATTCTGACTCACCTCATTCTTATTGATTGTTATTGTTATTATTCTCATTTCAGTATCTGTCTATATTTCTGAGATGAGGTATTATGTACATTATTTACATTATTCGGACTATTGCCCTCAACGTTGTCGCCATATTTATTACAACGTTTCGGCCGTTGTACGCTCCGGCCATCTTCAGGTGGTTGGAATGTCGAACTTAACCCTTTATTTTGCTCACTGGGGTAGACCTTGAGGATACGTGGCACAGTGGATAAAGGCGTTAGTTAGATCCAGTGACAGGACCCAAAGAGTGTGAGTTCAATACCCGGTTAAGGCAGTGGAGAACTTGGAGAGGGGAATTAACAGGAGATAACTGATAACTGACACCCATTAAACATGGCACGTCGAAGTAGAACAGTCTACCCCATTATAACTTATTATGTTTATAAAATGCATTAGAACCCCCCAAAAAAAAAAAAAAAAAAAAAAAAATTGAAGGAGAAATCTAAAAAAAAATATCGACCCTATTATCCCCAATTTTACCAATGAATAGTATATTCCAGTATGAAAACCCGACTAATCATAAAAAAATATCACATGCCGAGAAGGGCTTCTCGCCGTAATGTAATGGTTAACAAGCTTGTCTGACAAGAACAATTACGACGGAATAGTGAGTTCGATTCTCAGTGGGTGCTCAACACTTTCGGCATTGTGCCACATCTAATCCCTATTTGGACACTCCGACGTTGTGCAATGGTTTGCAAGTTTGTCTCGCACTATCAATTATGACTGAGTAGTGAAGTCGATCCTCACTGGGTACCCCATACTTTCGGCCTTGTGCGATATCCAAGCTACGCTTAGAAAATCGCCATCACTGACCAAGAAGTGTCAAATTTGCGGCAACTATTTAGAATGTAATAAGAGGATCTCGGAGCGCATATTGGTGCATCGTTGTCAATGACAATAAACAAAAATAGACAGAAATGTCTGTTTCGGCTGTTGGCGAGAGACTGTATTTGCGCGAATCAAGCGAAAATAACCATCATGTGCTAACGGATGCGGAGAATACCACAGTATTATTCATAAAATGTCGGCCATAAAAGCTACTGCTTTGGGAGCAGCAGAGGAAGAAATGTGTTACCTTAACAGGTATCATTCTAGCAAGAATTTCGTTGCCTGTCAGTATCCCAGTATCCCAGCTTCTCTCCAAACGTTGTTAATTTAATTTTGAAACTTGTTTTACCTTCAAGGGATCAGATTCGGATGTAACTGAGAAGCAGAAGATCACCCCACACCCCAATCTTATAAACCCTGTCACGGACTTTCGATTTATAGGACGCTAGGTGATTTGGGGAGGAGGGTATTTTATAGGAACAAAATGTGTTTTATAAGCCGCAAAATACGCTACTGATAAAATTTCCCGAAATTATTTTTACTATTAAAGTTAAAAATTTGTTTTTAATCATTTCACCCCAGGCAAGGTGATAAAAACCACTGAGAGGAAACAGAGAGGACAATAAACGAACAGGATCCAGAGAGATCTTTCACGACAACAGAAGACAGGAACCAACAATAAATAAAAACATAGAAGAACTGACAATCGACATTGTCCAAAATGAACGGAAAATGGGGAGTAGGATCATATAGGATTGTAATGGAGATGATGTGAGCCATAAAATATTTCGGGGGTCGACAAAGTTACGGAAATAAGTGACATATACGATAACACCGACAAGGCAGGAGGAGCAGAGATCGAGTAACTTACCTGACGTGTTTCTGGAAATGGATGGTACTGAACGGAGAAATAGCAATAGTAACGAGTCAAACGTTGCTTAGAGCTACAAGCGAAGGAAGTTGTGGAGAGCCATAATCGCACACGTACCGAAAGGAGAAGGTATATGAAAGTCAAATGAATGCAGAAATGAGAAGATAAATATTGGGTTGGTGCATAATTATCAGGCGTTTTTTAAACAACATTTATTATGAAAAAAGAAACATAACGATTCAACAATAACATTCTTAAATGATTATTCCGGAGCGTAGTCGCCATCTACTTCAATTACTGCTTCCCATTTGCTTGAAAGACGGTCAATTCCACGGGCGAAGAAGTCACGGTTCTTGGAGGCAATCCATGCTTTGACATCGGTCACCAAGTTAGCCAAATCGGCATAAACTTTGTTCACCTGCCAATTATTCAGCGATCGATTGACGTGGTAGTCCGTAGGCGCTTCTGTGGGAGAATATGGCGGATGTGGAAGCAGTTCCCAGCCCTTATTGGCGATACATTCGACAACACGACGCTCAAACTATGGGCGCGCATTATCGTGGTGGAAGACGATATGGTTCTTTTTGCGCAGTCTTTTCGACTTGATTGCAGCGTGAAGGCGGTCAAGTTGAGCCAGATAGCCATCACTGTTGATGTTAAATTGCCACTTGTATGATTCTGCTTCTGTCCCACCAAACACACCACATTGCCTTCATACAGTGCATGCATTCCTTTTGGTGAAACTCCTGGTGAAACGCAGATATTCTTTCTTAGACGTTTCTCAAGAGAAGTCATGATTCATCCAAAGTGACAAGATTCTTTCAGATGCGGAGCTTGCTCGTCTCTTTGCAGCAAATCAGTGAAAATTCGGACACGTTCGGCTTTATTTTTCTCGGAGAGTTCGTGAAGGACCCATTCAGTCAATTTCCATACATTTCCGAGCTTTTTGAGACAACGAACGATGGTTGAATGGTACACATTGAAGTCTTCGGTCAGCATTCGTATTGTCAATGATTTTGACCTTTTCCACGGCTGCCAAAAGTGTCTGGTCGTCGAAATCCGATGGTCGACCCCTTCTTGGCTTATCTTCCAAGTTAGTGTCGCCAGATTTGAGACGGGCAAACCATTCACTGCATCGACTTTCCCGGATTGTTCCTTCGCCAAAAAGTCCGCTGAGATCGCGAAATGACTGCGCTGCTTTTCATCCTTTTCCGAAGTTGCAAAGCATGACGATTATGAATATGATTATCGACACGAATCTTTATAACCTGAAAATAAAATAATATCTTTATTAAAAAAGTAAACAAAACAACAATTTTTATTAAGAAATAACACACCTACAAAAAACGCCTGATAATTATGCACCAACCCAATATCATGAAAAGTCGATGAATTTTTAGTCAGTAGTTGTACTTTAATAGAAATTTAGGATTTGAATACGACCAGAAATCAGTAACAAAAGCCGCATGACTCTTAGGCTTTTATTGGAAATATTATGTGTATTACTGGCACCATGTAAACCAGTACTATCTGCCGTATGGTCGAGTCAACGACTAATAATCGGTTCCTATACCAGAATTTTCCGGTGAGATAGGTGGTTACATAGTCTGCAGGATTAAGAGTAAAACCTGTCAGAAGGCAGATTGACCGTTTTATAGGGTCACCAGCCAACTAGCACAATGGGGAAAAGATGGAGCTCCATGGCTATATATTAAGCCAGTTCGGTTATGACGCGGCAACGCTGGACGGAGGCTTCCCCAGCCTGAAGTTAACGGTTAGGGCTGACGGATCGACCAATGGAATCAACGGCGACGTGTCAGTAACCAAGACGAGACTTCATTGCAAGAGGACATCGGCTGTATTCTGACCCGGAGAAGGATGGGCCTGCTTGCCCAAAACATGATGCGAATGAATGAATAGCTCAGTCTTATAGGACTGATGATAATGATGATGATAATGATGATGATGATGACGACGACACGTGGGAGTAAATAGCGTATAGTTTGAAAAAGTCATGTTCACTGGTTTTTACTTTTTCCATTATCCACCGTTCCAAAAGATATTCGTCACTGGCAACTTAAATCTATAAGCATTCTTAAACTGGTCAGTGCCAGGTAATCTTGCTGAAATTATAAATTCCCCCAGTTAAAAAAAAACTAACGGTGAAAAAAATGTAGACTCAATAAAAAATAATGTAAACTCAATAATGCCCCACGAAACCTTATGTTCTTCTGCTCTCAAGTGGAAAGATGACAATGTAAAAAAAAACCTGCGAGAAAAAAAAATGGAAGGCACAGAGCATTATGGGAAATCTATCACATGGTATGTATAGAAGGCAAAGGCGGGAATAAATTATGCAAGATAGAAAGCTATGGTAATAGAAAAATAAAGAGATGTGTAAAAAATCGGTCGAAATTCAAGTTGTTTACAAATATTTCCCCATTAATCAATATTGTTAGTAGTGGCAAATATCGAACGACAAAAAAAGTCTTAGGTGAGTTTTATCATTAATGCGAATCGGTCGACCTCCAATTATATACTTATAACGGTGTATATATTCACATGTATGTTATGCTAAAAAAATACTATATTATATAATTATCCTTTCTCTATGTGATTCTGTTCTTATTATCTATCTATCTATCTATCTATCTATCTATCTATCTTTTTGTATTCACCATCTATTTCTCTACCATTACATTATCTCTTTTCAAATATTATTACACACACTCTCTCTATATGCATCTATCAGCAGCTATACTTTATACTATTTCTCTCGAATTAGGTCTTCTCTTTAGATACTATCTATCTATCTATCTATCTATCTATCTATCTTAGTCTATTCATATCTATCTGTCCATCCTAATCTGTTTATATCTATCTTAGTCTGTTCATATCTATCTATCTGTATATGATTACACTCTCTCTTTTCATCTATTTTTACTCTCTCTATTTTCACCTATTTTCTACTCACTCACTCACTCTCTCTCTCTGTGTATTTACCTGCAGTTATATCTATCTATCTATCTATTTATGGTTACATTCTCTCTTTTAATCTTTCTATCAGTTATAACAAATTTAGTATAGGAGAAAATTAGATCGAACATAGTATAGGCTGCTCCAGAGGTAATTTCGCCCTACACCGTAAATTGCTTCGCAGCTAAAACATCAACCCGAAACCCGATTCATGTTCTTAAATGGCCTCGACAGATCGAGACTTTAATATGGATATCATGCATGGCGTCAAACCTGTTCATGTGAATGAAATCGCTTTGTAATGCCAATGGTTAAAAATGACTTTGAGTGAGTGGAGCCTGAGGCTCTTGACAAAGATTATCATTCAATGAACATTGTGCTCTGGCGCTACAGAATCCCAAATAAAAAACAGCTTCACTCGAGGACAACCAACAGTAACAAAAACTAAAATAAATAGCACATGTAAATAGAAGAGAAAAGAATGACGTAATGAAGATGTTAACATTCCAGACTACTTCACATAAAAGGCTACGGTTAGAAACTCCCATCAATACTGGAAAGAGGGATAACATCTACTGGACTTGAGAAATCAGTTTATAAGACCATTATCATTTAGCTTTGAACGCATTCTTTCTGTTTTAATTATCTGCATTTATACTCTGTCATACCATTTCCCTCGTATTAGGACTACACTTTACTGCATCTATCTATCTATCTATCTATCTATCTATCTATCTCAGTGTATTCACTATCTATCTATCTATCTATCTCAGTGTATTCACTATCTATCTATCTATCTATCTATCTCAGTGTATTCACTATCTATCTATCTATCTATCTATCTATCTATTTACCAGTGTATTCATTATCTATCTATCTATCTATCTATCTATCTCCGTATATTCACTATCTATCTATCTATCTATCTATCTATCTATCTACCAGTGTATTCATTATATATCTCTCTATCTATCTATCTATCTATCTATCTAAGTGTATTCACTATCTATCTATCTATCTATCTATCTATCTATCTATCTCCGTATATTCACTATCTATCTATCTATCTATCTATCTATCTATCTATCTATCTCATTCTGTTTATTAGCTGTCTAGTTAGAGAGCAACCACTTTCTTTAACAACCTAATTCCCCTGCTAATCATTTTTTTATTTCTTCTGAAGTATCTGTTTTTCTACCTGCCTAACTTTTTTTCTTTCTTTTTTCACCATTTTACAAACTACTCCTGAGTATTATTAATGACAAGCTAGTTATTTTCCCCCGCGAACACATTTTAATAAACCACATAAAGGCATCTGTATGGTTTGTTAACACCAACTGATTTCCGAGGTAATCATATCAACTTTACTCGCGCAAATTTCCTCCTTGAGGACATGCGACATCGGAAAGTTGTCTCTTTATGAAGGATGCATAAAAAATAAAATTGTAGATCTATTAGACCACAGATTGTATAACTTAAAACAATGTTGTTATCTTATCAGTATTCGCCTTTTCTATAATTTATAGCTGGAGAATCAACGACAGCACTGAGGTGGAGCTGATTGTGTGTTACTTTGTCGTTCGCCATTTTGTATAGTTTGCGTAATGACTTGATCAAATTTTCAAGATTAACTCTAAAACACTTTTTGCTTCTAAATGATTACTTTGAATATACAACTTAGGCTCAAATAAAAACACGCTAAATGTAATTTTTATAGCATAATAACGAGGCACTTAGTGCATTGGGATATCGAAAATTCCCCACAAAAAGCTAAGCAAAGTATTAAGAAATAGGAAATTATCATCAGAAACAAAGAAAAGAGCACTGAACTGTTACTTAATATCAGTCCTCCTGTATGGCAGTGAATGCTGGACTATTGAGATGTTGAGTGTTTCCCCGTGCGTGTATTGAAATAAGGACATACGTAGGGAAAAATACTGGTATATCTGAAGAGGTATTTACAACAGAGAGATTAGTAGTCAAACGAACGCAGGTTAGTCAGTAACAATCAGAAAAGAGTATAAAGTCCAACTGTATCTTCCGGTAGAGAGACGGAAGTGTGATGGTCACCTGATCTCCCAGAACTCTATAGAACTGTCCTATTAGTAGTAGAGAGATCAGTCCATTCTGATAAGAAGGTGGGTGGCCCCAACCTGGGCTATATCATCACAGAAGAAAACGCAACAGAAATCTGGTTCTACAGAAGGATGCTGAGAATACCATAGACAGAATATGTGAGCGACGTCGAAAATTTATAGAAATTTCAAGCAAAAAAGAAACTTGTACTTAACATCAGTTTGAGACAACTGAAATTTCTAGGGCACATAATGAGGAAAGAGGGATTGGAAAATTTGATACTCACAGGACAGATTGAAGACAAGGCGGACAGAAGAAAACAATATAGCTTGAGTAAATGAATGACGGATAAGTGTTTAGTAGCTGTCGCAAAAAGACAATGTTTATTAATATCTACAAAGGACAGGAAATTGTGGTGAGATGTGATCGCCAACGTGCTGAAGGGATACGGAACACAGTAGAAGATTACCAAAATGGCTAAATGAAAATGATTTTTCGGGCAAGCTAATAAACGTCTGTTAGTTATCTGTCTAGTTATTTATGGGCGTATAGCCGAATGGTTAGAACGTTCGCTTTTATCCATGAGACCCGGGTTCAAATCTCATCACGGTCGATTCATCAGGATGATAACTTCTTGATGTTATGGGCCTTTGAAGGCGATCATAGCCAGGAAAACATTGACCAAAGCGATGTAACTGAAACTGGGTTTACGGAACTTGGGAGCCGTTGATGGTTGTATTAACACGAAGTCACAAGTCATCGTGACAGAGGGTTTTGAGAGTGCTGGCCATATTCAGACTGTTGATCACTCCAGATAATGCACTCTCTCGTCGAAATTATAACTACGGTTCGCTCAGCAAAGTTGCCGTATAAACCACAGGTGGGCTCTATAGGTGCTAACAAGCCTCTGCAACAGGGATTGGGTAGCAGACAAGGTTCCGAGCGGCTAACATTCATTTATCTATGGATCTGCCTACATATCTATTAGGTTGGTGCAAAAATAATGACGTAAGAATGTCGTTTTTGACGTTAAAAAATACGTCAAAAACGACATTATTACGTCATTATTTTTGCACCAACCTAATACCATTAAACATTTCTTGCACGTAGAAGAGGACATTTCGCAATAAATTTATTATAATTCAGTTAATGAATATTTCTACTCTTTAATTAAAGCCAGCCTGTATCTCAATTGGTAAATGTCTGTCTGTTTGATTTTGAGAATGTCTGTCTTTAAGTGCATCTGATTTTGTAAAAGAATGACAGACAGACATTCACAAAACCAGACAGAACGACAGACTAATTTTTGTGAATATCTTTCTTTCGGTCTGTCTTTTTTAAATCTCTGTCTTCATGATTTATTTTTAAAAATGTCTGAGTGTTTAATTTAGTAACTGTCTGTCTTTCTGTTTGACTCTCAGATTTTATGAATATTTTTATCTCTCGGTCCGTTCGTCTGTCTCCAAATCCTAAAACGGTCACCCCCTCATAATCAAACTAAAAAAATCTATATAATTTCCTGCTTTAATTTATGCTTATCCATTACTTGTCTAATTCCTGATGTTCTGGCCGTTGAAAACTCATTTATTCTTGATGGTTAATATACAACACAAAGATTATATACCGGAAACTATTCAGACACAATTTGGATTAAAAGAAAAAATAATGCAAAAGAAATCAGTGATTCCTCACAATTTCCTCTATTTACCACCAGCAGAATTTTTTTTATAGCAAAAAAATTATTAAATAAATCTGTTCTAGAAGTAATATAGCAGGATCAAGGTCAGTGGTCTGTTATCATATATATATATATATATATATATATATATATATATATATATATATATATTTGATGCAAGAAAAGTGCAGAATAAACAATAAAACCAGCGCTGTTCGAGTTTTACCTCAAATAGAAGGTGCCGGGCTTAGATATGAGTAATTATTTTAAAACCGAAGTGAATCAAATTAATACTTGCATATATATCTTATATTTATATATATATATATATATATATATATATATATATATATATATATATATATATATATATATATATATATATATATAAATATATATATAAATATATATATATATATATATATATATATATATATATATATATTAAGGAATGGACAAAGTCCGACAATTTATTTATTAAAAGACATTTTTTATGTTTAACGTTCTTTTTATAGACACAAGTATTTAAGTATTTTATAAACAGAGCATTTACTTAAATACTTGTATCTATAAAAAGAACGTTAAACATAAAATGTCTTTATATATATATATATATATATAAGATAATATAAAGCATATATATAAAACTATAATATAATCCAACTAAATATGTTAACTCTGATATTAAGCGCTTTCTAAATTCCATGCATATATAGTATAAAAAAATATATATATATAAAAATATATATATATATATATATATATATATATATATATATATATATATATATAAAAAAAAGATAATATAGTGAATTTAAAAAATATGGTTACCTCTTCTTTAGTTTGCTTCAAAATTTGGTAAATCTTCGTTGTTTCACTATCGTTTCGACGAAAATAAGCGTTTATATATATTAAGAAATGGACAAAGTCCGACTATTTATTTATTAAAGACATTTTTATGTTTAACGTTCTTTTTTTATATAGATACAAGTATTTAAGTAAATGCTCTGTTTAAAATAAACAGTATTAAATAACATTTACCGGCCTGAATGTCCGAGAAATTTTCATAGAAAATATTCGTCCTTTGACAGGATTCGAACCTGCATCCTATACGGAACCGTCATTTACGCTGACGTGCCTTACCGTTTCGAGAAAAATAAGGGGTTTTATTATCGGATCCAAATATCATTTGATCAAATAGAATGTCATTCCTTGTCACGTTCACTGCAGTCATGATATTACATGTTTCGTATAAGACTTAATAACTTCTGTATCACTTCGTAATTTTCCAACGAATTTTTCACTACATGCACACTAGAACAAGCATCGTTTTTCAAATGTATGCTGCATAGTACCCAAGACAAGAAAATATGCGTCTTATACACCGGAATATACAATAGACAATGCCAATTGACAGCACTTTTTACTTTCTAATACACACTATTTCTTTTTTATATACTGACAATTAATTCAATACAAGACGCAAGGGTCACTCAAGGTAGAACGTTACTGAGTGAGATTTTAAGGTAGAAGTAGGAGAGTATTATGAGAACTCGCAAGATATATATCGGTTGACCCCGGACTTAACGAGAGCATCATTTTAGTTGTCAGGAAAGCATTCTCTCGGGAGTTTATTCCACAAAGTAACAGTTTGGGAGGAGACGCTGAGATGAACTTGCTTTTTATTAGAGGAACACGAGTGGAATGTGAATAGTTTTCCACCTGGAACATGGCATGGCAAGTCCTAGTTGTGAAGGTCTGAGCTGATGGAACTAAGGAATTTAACTCGTCTAAGTCTGGCATATCGATTTACCTACGCATCAGAAACAATGGCTCAGTCCAAATGATTACGATACAATAGTCTTGTTGCAATTATTTGTACTTATTTATTTTGTGACCTTCCATTCCAATAAATCTCTGTAGATACATACAACAGTCAAGTCCGATTTATTAGTTTCTAATAGTTTCGTGAAGGAAGTCTTTACTTTTTATGTAGGCGCGTACTTCCTTATTACGAGAAATGTTTTTCTTTTTATCACGTTACAGGCTTTTTTTTTTTTTTACAGTCCCTTTGTGTAAATTCTTGACACTTTCGAAGGCCGGGTGATATTAAAGAATTATCTCCCTTGGTGAAAATTGATATTCTGGCCATAAGCTTAGAAGAAAATGTCTTCCTGGTTCCATCATTGCTTTACTATTACAAGAATTGTGGTATGAAGTTTTCTTCTTTTACCTAAACTTTCTTTTTTTTCAGTTTTTCGTTTTTTCATTATTTTTCATTCCTATGGTTTTTGTTTTCATTCTTTTTATCCCCTCCGTTTTTTCGATTTTTTTTTTGTCTCTTTTCATAAACGTACGGTCAAATAATAATGAAAAGGAAGAAGAAAATAAAAGGTTTCGATCGATCACCGAAGTTAAGCAATGTTGACCCAATCAATACGTAGATAGAGGACCGGATAACGTAAGCAATCTCCGATAGTCCGGAATACATTTAGGTTTTAATAACACACAAATGGTTGATAAGCCTTAAATTTTTATTTTTCTTCTGCTTTTTTTTTCATTTTTTACGCACAATTCGATTTTGCATATATTTCTTTCTTTTCGATTTTTTATTCTTTTTGTTCTTTTTGTTTTCATATTCTTTCGTCTTTCCTTTTTCATTCTTTTCATTTCTCCATTCTTATTGGTTATTTCTTTTTTTTTATTGTTTATTCATTCTTTTTGTTCTTTCGTTTTATTCATTGTTTTCGTTGTTTCATTTATTTCTATTCTCGTTCTTTTCTTTTTTCAATTTTCCCCTTCTTTTTACATTCTTTTTTTGTTTTTTTCTTTCTTTTCCTTTTTTCATTCTTTACGTTGCTTATTCATTTCTATTCTCGTTCTTTTCTTTTTCAATTTTTCCGTTCTTTTTTTCACATTTTTTTTTCTTTCTTTTCGTTTTTTTCTTTCTTTTTGTTTTTTATTTCCTTTCGTTTTTTATTTCCTCTCGTTTTTTCATTCTTTTCGTTTATTATTTTTTATTTTTTTCTATTTTTCAATGACATTTTATGTAAATCTGAGTGCAACTTATTTTCATAGCAGCTGAAGCTTGATTTCTAGTCGACTGATTTTACAAGCTGTGTAAAGTTTGAATACACGGATACAAATAATGGCGTCGTGAACTTTTGCATCAATCTAAAATGTTTCTGATTCTGACAGAAAAGAGAAAACGATGTACATTTTGCACTCAACCGAGTATTTACATTGTTTGCAGCCGGACTAATATCCCCATCTTTGTTTTTTTCAACACAAAGTTTCACGGGATAAATGTCTACAGGATAAAATCGTTGGTTCGTGAATTTGTTGGCATACTAATTGTGTGTTCAATTCCAGGGCAAGGTAGTACATCCTCATTGGGAACAGGGAGCGCAATAACGGGACATTATTAAAAAAACAACAACAACAAAGAAAACGAGGTATAACATGGACAGCAGAGCGAAAACACATTAACTCCGTAGATTAAATAAAAAGTTTAATTTGAAATTCTACAAAGGTTTTCTGGATGGATAGATACTTGGTGTCTTCCCTCTAATGAGGCTATTGTGGACTCTTCCACTTACTATAAAGTAGTAGGAAAGTAAGCCTCGGGGGAAAGTAAGCTTCGGGTTCATTACTGTCAAACTCTACTCCTCGGCGGAGAGGAACTCGGACGAAGCTTTGCCGAAGGGCAAAGTTTCGTACGGGGAGGTAGACAAGCCCTGAACCCGCTTATACGGCTCCAAAGGGAATATTTTTGGCCGAGCCTACGGGAGCGGAGAACCCACTGCAAACCGGCCTTGTGCCACATACTACGCACGTAGGGGGCGTTAAATATAACGGTGATATAGAACGTTCATTACTGTCATACTCTCTGCTCTTGAGCAGAGAGGAACCCGGACTTTGCCGAAGGGCAAAGTTTCGTCCGGGGAGGTAAACAGGCCCTGAACCCGTTTATGCGGGTTTAAAGGAAATTGCCGAGTCTACGGGCGCGGAGAACCCACAACAAACCGGCCTTGGGCCACATACGACCCATGTGGGGGGGCGTTAAATATAACAGTGATATAGACTATTCTACCGAGGCTGTGACTGTTCGCAGCTCCTGTTGCACTCTCTGCTTTGACCAGAGACGAACCCTGACGAGGCTGTGCCGAAGGGCAGAGTCTCGCTCAGGGCGCTAGACAGACCCGAACCCGTTTATGCGGGTTCTACGGGGATTTGTTGGCCGACCCTAAGGGCTCGGATGACCCACGTTAAACATGTACCCTCGTGGGGGGGGGGCTGCTAAATATAACAGTGATATAGACTGAACGCTGGTCAACCGGCACACACTCCCAAATCGTGTAACACATTTCTGTTGTATTTACTGTTCAATACACTATTTATCTGCAACCTCTTGTTTTGTTATTCCTTAATCAATTACTTGGTCACAACAATCGCTGAAGAAGGTCGGGGAGTAAAACGGCCGAAACATTCTGAATAAAACTAAAGATGAGAACATTATTCTAACTGTAAATAATGATAACAATTCTTGCAAGAAATTCCGAGATAAAATTTTAATTTTTTTTCTGATGCTAAGTATAAGTGTTCTTTTTTTGCATTTTTTTTTCTAAAACTTCGTTGTTCAGTTCATGGTATTCTCAGCATCAATCTTTAGAACCACATTCCTTTTGCCTCAAGTCTCTTCTTCATCTTCATTCACTGCCATATAGGAAGAACGATAGTCCGGTGCTCTGTTCTTAGTTTCTTACAAGATTTTCCTGTTCCTTAATACTTCACTTAGTTTTTGGAAGGCATCTTTCACTATTCAAATGCGTCTTCGGATTTCGATGTCACATTTTCCGTCCTCTTTTAAAACGCTTCCCAGATTTGTAAATTTTTGTATATTCTTGATTTTGATGTCCCCAGTTCGTAGTTAAAATACTTCGTATAAAAACATTCAATTTTTTTTTTTTAAGATTTATTTCTATCAAATATTTAAATTAAAAAAAACCAACCACCAACTTTATTTCCGTACAAGGCGAATCTTTTCGACAAAACCCTCAGAAAAAAGAAGATCGCCCGTATTAGACTAACACACCCCACTTTCACACACGCATCCCTTGGTGATCAAAAAATGAAATATGTATTGACTAGTAATGAATAAATATCAGTGAATACAAATCAAGATGATATTAAAATATAAATATTGTATACTGTGCTGGGCTCAAATAAGGCGACGAGTCCTTATATATAAAAACATATTAGACATGTCACGTGGCACTAGAACAGTCTACTCCAGCGAGGGTTCACTTGGACATTCCAACCAACCAGGCTGGAGCGTTTTGTGATAAATATGGCAACAAAGATGAGGACAATAGTCCGAATAATGTAAATAGTGTACATAATACCTCATCTCAGAAATATAGACAGAAACAGAAAACAGATAATTTAAAATCCAAAACTAAAAATAGCAATCAGAAAACACTGAATCGATATATTAATTCCGACAACGGTCAAAATTCTGAGTTCATTTCGATCATTACAGATATTTGACTCGTTTATGTAGAGTTTCTATCCTTTTCCATTGTACGGAATAATTCAATTACAGACGCAACAAAGGTGACATGATGAATTTAATTGGATGTAGGTCTTTAATAAAAAATGAAATATATACGTTTTCTTTACGAAAACAATAAGCACGCAAACATTTCTGTTCTGGAACCAGTAGAAAGTTTATATTTAATGAAATTAAAAATGCAAATTATTTTGGCATCAAAATGACAGAAAAGGTCGGAGTGTACACAGAGAGATGCTAGTTAGTACTTTGAAATGTTATCTGATATTAAACCTTTGGTAAATGTTGACATCTGCAATCTATCAGGAATCTAGTCAAAAGTTTGCCTTTCCATTTTAAATGAATGCTGGCAGTGTAGTATATTGCAGCTGGGATCAAATAAAGCGACGGGTCCTTATATATAAGAACATATAAATCTCTTTATTTTTCAAGTTGCTGCGGATGGGTAGAGCGAGGGAGAATCACAGAGGTTAGGATTGACGGAGACAAATCTTCAGTGATCCTCTCGCCTGCCTCTTTGTCAAAAACAAGAATCTGGCCGGTTATATAACATTTAGACACCTACGCAAATTCACGTGACTACGCTTTCTTTCCGGTATGTCACCTATGCAACTTCGTGTGACCACGCCTCTTCCAGTATGCGCCCACGCAAGTAAGCATTTCCTTCCGCTCAGAACACCTGTGCGCCCTGTTTTAAGACTCGGGACACCTGTACGTCCTGTTTATTTTAGCCACAGGATACATTTCCTGTTTATGCTGGCAGTGTAGTATATTGGAGCTGGGATCAAATAAGGCGACGGGTCCTTATTGTTATGTAGTGTGCGAAAGGTTTTTCTTCCTCCGTATGAATTCGAATCCTTCGTCGCCAAGTTGTTATGTAGTGGTTTCACAGTGGAGGCTTTTATTTGTACTAAGTCGGTCTTAAAATAGGTTCGACGTACAAAACGTTAGGAACTTCATATAATAGGTAATGACGCAGTAATCTAGTTGGGGTGGCTGATACTTTAATATCCGACATCGACTGACTGACCAACTCCCTGAGTGACTGCTACTACTACTTCTACTTATTATGGGTGGGGGAGTCTATTAACTATAGAATAGGTGTGTTCCACTATAACACTTATATATAAAAACATAAATACTTTTCGAGTTGCTGCGGATGGTTAGAGTGAGGGAGAATCAAAGGGGTTAGGATTGTGCTCACAGGACTTGACGGCGAAAAATCTTCGGAGAAACTTAAGCCAGCCTCTCTGTCCAGGTAAGAATCGGGCCGGTTATATAACATTTGGACACCTACGCAACTTCACGCCTTTTTCTGGTCGCCTACGCAATTTCGTGTGGCCTCGCCTCTTTCGGCCACGTACTCACGCAACTTCGTGTAGCCACGCCTCTTCCGGCATGCGCCCACGCAAGAGTGCATTTGCTTCCGCTCATGACACCTGTGCGCCCTGTTTATTAAAAGATCGTATCTTAGTCGAAACCAGTAAATATATCATCAGCATTTATTCAGAGCATTTTGTGCCGCTATTGTCATCACCATCCGCTCCATCTCAGAATTGTGGCTCATATGGACATTCAATGCAGAACAGTGCAATGGCTTAGCGAATCCTTTGAGGTTACCACGTCCTTCCTCTCAGAAGTTAAAACGGTATGATCTACAATATATATATATATATATATATATATATATATATATATATATCGGGTGTAACAGCAAAATTGTTTAAACAACATAATTATCCATCCTATATAAAAACCAGTAAACTAATTGAGTTTCTTTTTTTCTAGGTATCCATATAAGACGTTTAACCATTGTTATATAGGAATAAAGTGTCGTTGCCGACACTTGAGTTTGAACATAGACCACCAGTGAGCAAAGACTGGCGATCATGTGATTGAATTAAGTAGACCACGTGACCATAGAGGACTAGTTTGGCTTCTAATTGATCGCCATTCTATTCTATTCTCTAATACTATACGGATCACTATTTCTAGTCTATACTATTTCTCTACTCTATTCACTATACTATTTGTCTTTTCGGATCACTATACAGATTACTATTCGAGCGAGTATTATCGAGCAAGTACTATTAGTGATGAGTGATATTTGAAGGCGTCTGATATCAGCATTGTTCAACGCCGTTACTATAGTTGTACCTGCGATTACAAAGTCTCTATTACAACGAGCATTACGAAAGTGACAACTAGTATTCGTTGACATCACAAAAAACATCTTGACACCATTTGTCGTAAGAAACACTGAAACATTTTTTGAGCTATTCAGCTAAAAAGAGGTACGGTTAAAATTGTTTTATTTCATCCCCACTGTCTTCCCAACTGAGCAATGTTAAGAGGAAAAAGATCATTCAGGCCTTCATACTCTGGCTTACATCTTCAAAGTCCATTCAATAATCATCAAGAGAACGGTGAATAAGTTTTAAAAGAGAGAGAACAGGAGAGAGGAAAACTGGATCAGGAGGTCAACTCAGGAAGAGGGCCCATCATTTCAACTTCGAGCTAAAGAGATCAATTAGAAAACAACAATCCATAAGGCCTTTGGCACACGAGAGAGAAGTTTCAGCTATGACAGTCCAAAGAGCAGTAAAAAAAGGACTTGAAAATGAAATCGTAAGTGAAAACTTTGAGGCACAGGGCAGGAGGTTAGAGAGGGCGAAGATCCTCTTGAATAAGTTGGAAAATGATCCTGGAATAATATATATATATATATATATATATATCTATATGAATATTATTTCAATACTTGACGAGCTACCGATCCTTAGCTATGATTAATTAACGATGAACATGTCATTTTCATTTATGATAGACTTTTAAATACGGTAACCTTAATGTACACACACACACACACACACACACATACATATATATATATATATGAATATACATAACACCTCACGCCGACAATACAACTCGGAGTTTCAAACTCAATGCAATCATTAGGTACTAATTTGAATTTACACCGTTTGTTTAATATTTCTGTGTCTGGCAATTACAACAGTCGTAAAATATTTAATTGCTCTATGATCTAATCTTGAATTAGAAATTAGTTTCAAACTTCCATTTACGATTGAAAATAACTAAAAGTTCTAATCTTAATTTTTAAATTTAAAAACAGACGGTGTTATTAAAATAAATTTAAGGATCACGACACTAACACTTTTATTTTGCTTAAAAATAGTAAGAAATTAATAAAATAAAAATATTTGTAGGGCTAAAATGATTATAAATGTAACATAAATAATAGTATAAAAATAAAACAATAATAACAATAATAATAATAAAAAAAAAAAAACAATAAAAAAATAAAACAATAATAACAATAATAATAATAAAAAATAAAAAACAATAATAAAAATAAAACAATAATAACAATAATAATAATAAAAAAATAAAAAACAATAATAAAAATAAAACAATAATAATAATAATAATAATAATAAATAAAAAACAATAATAAAAATAAAACAATAATAATAATAATTAAAAATAAAAAACAATAATAAAAATAAAACAATAATAAATAACGATAATATTGATAATACTGTAAGACCAACAATAAGATAAGAATAAAAATAAAAATAATGCATGTATAGTAAAAATAGACAATAATAAAAATAATAGTATCTGTGTCGTCCGAGACTATGAAAACTATATTAATTTATAGGGTAAAATTGATCAATATCTGGTTCAATACCGATTGGCGACAGTCTGTTTTACGCTTGAACTCAATCTTCCGGTGAAATGACATGGCTAGAGGTTGGCGTTATGTTTACTTAATGGTCTATCATCTGATATATATTAGCATGAGCTTACATTCATAAAAGGTCAAATTAGAGGGCGAGAGTGGTTTGTTTAATTTACAAGTCGTGACGGCATTTTTAGCGTTTTAAAATCTAACTTGGTACTAGGCTCAAGGTTCAATTTTCAGGCACTAATAAACTAATAATATCTATCTATCTATCTATCTATCTTCGTATATTCACTATCTATCTATCTATCTATCTTCGTATATTCACTATCTATCTATCTATCTATCTATCTATCTATCTTCGTATATTCGCTATCTATCTATTTATCTAGCTTTCTATCTATCACTTTTTGTTTATTAAATGCCTAGTTAGAGAGTAATCACTTTCTTTAACAACATATTTCTCTTGCTAATCTTTCTTAATTTCTCCTGAATTGTCTTTCTACCTGCCTAGCTTTCTTTTCACCATTTTACAAACAATGCACTACTCCTGAGTATTATTAATGACAACCTCGTTATTTTCCCCCGCGAACCCATTTTAATAAACCACATAAAGGCATCTGTATGGTTTGTTAAGATCAAATGATTTCCGAGGTAATCATATCAACTTTACTCGCACAAATTTCCTCCTTGAGGACTTGCGACATCGGAAAGTTGTCTCTTTATGAAGGATACATATATAATAAAATCGTAGATCTATTACACCACAGATTATCTATCTCAATCTGTTCATTATCTATCTATCTATCTATCTATCTATCTATCTATCTATCTATCTATCTATCTATCTCCGTATATTCACTATCTATCTATCTATCTATCTATCTATCTATCTATCTATCTATCTATCTATCTATCTATCTATCTCAATCTGTCCATTATCTATCTATCTATCTATCTATCTATCTATCTATCTATCTATCTATCTATATATCTCCGTATATTCACTATCTATCTATCTATCTATCTATCCTATCTATCCATCTATCCATCCATCTATCTATCTCAATCTGTTCATTATCTATCTATCTATCTATCTATCTATCTATCTATCTATCTATCTATCTATATATCTCCGTATATTCACTATCTATCTATCTATCTATCTATCTATCTATCTATCTATCTATCTCAATCTGTTCATTATCTATCTATCTATCTATCTATCTATCTATCTATCTATCTATCTATCTATCTCAATCTGTTCATTATCTATCTATCTATCTATCTATCTATCTATCTATCTCAATCTGTTCATTATCTATCTATCTATCTATCTATCTATCTATCTATCTATCTATCTCAATCTGTTCATTATCTATCTATCTATCTATCTATCTATCTATCTATCTATCTATCTATCTATCTATCTATCTCAATCTGTTCATTATCTATCTATCTATCTATCTATCTATCTATCTATCTATTTATTTTAGTCTATGCATGACTATATATCTTTCTGGCTGTCTTTACATCTCACAATCGATCTAGGGAATTCAGTGATAGCTTACTTTTATTTACCCTGGATCGAACAGTATCAAGCCACTCTGCATGAAAATGCCAAATGTAAACCACGGAGTTCAGCGGTTCTTTATGGCTCTGATCTTCGCCCTGCTATTCATTGTGCATCCAGCCATGAGTCAGATAACATGACTCTAAGCAATGAAAGTAATTCTATCAGGCACATGTCTCACAAACAATTGGTAAAGTTCACTCGCATAAGATTACAAAAATATAATAAAATATCGTGTTTATTATTATTATAACAACTGCTTTTGGAAGAACTCTAGCAAAAGTATGCCGACATCTTACAGAGATAAGTACATGCAAATATATTACATTATATAACAAAGAGAGTGACACACACACATATACAAACACACTCCCCATATATATATATATATATATATATATATATATATATATATATATTAAAGAAAAAACAGACCACTTTAAGGCTCCATTGTAATAGTTTATTTCACCAGAGATCTTTTAAAGTATTCTGGATCTTCTGACATCACTTCCAAAAGGTGAAACGAAAAATGAAATGAAAATTTACACTTTTGACGGGTAGTATTTAGTTTATGTAATTTAACAGAGAGGGTAGCGAGGAGTAGTGTGAGAGACATGGTCGAATTTAGAGAGGGTTTATTTTTATATTACTTTCTATCATACTTAATATATATATATATATTTTTTTTTTTTATTTATTACAATGAATCATTCACACAAAAAGTAAATTAGTAAAGTTTATGAGATAAAATGGCGAATTAGTAAAGTTCATGAGATAAAATGGAGAATTCACTTCGCTAACTTGATTTTAAAAATGCATTAACCCACTAATCACTCGACGAACGTTATGATCCTTGTTTTGAAAATTATAAAATGTATTAGATCTTTCTTAAATATGTAAGTACATTCGACATGTTCTGTTGATCCCGACAAGTTTAGTGTTAGCCATTATTTTTCCTACATAACCTCATGAATCGTTCTTCTTGCCTTCTTTTATGTTCATACGAAACCACACAGTAACCCTCTAATTTGAGTGGCTCTCGGGTCTTGTATTGGGTGAACATTGGCATAAAAATATTCTATATAGATATGTGCCCATAGAGCGAGTGATTAGAACTTTAGCGTTCCAACAACGAAACCTGTATTTGAATCACACTATTATCGGTTTGCCAAGATGACTTCTTCATAATTTCGTTCTCGGGTAAAAATATCTATATGCTCCACTTTTTGGAAAGTACCCCGAAAAGCGTACTACGTGCTGACACAAGTTTTGTGAGTGAAATTTGTTTCGCACAATTGTATGGAAGCCTTTGGTTAGCGGTAAGGATCAAGTTCTCGTAACGAAGTCATTGAGCATAATGACTTTTTTTTTCAAATATTAATCATGCACCTTCTCAGAGAAAACGTTCGCTAAACATATTTATAACGGTAGTGTTAATGCTAATATTAGTTGTTTCCTTATAAGGAAATATTCGGCAATCATTGACCGAGCAGCCTGTGTTACTTTCGGTTGAAATTTATAAAATCTTTTTATTGAAACAATTTTTTTTCATGTTTCTCAAGTTCAGTAGCTGTTATCACTCCTTCGAGTACTGATAGGGGGTTTTGTCTCAAAGCTTTGGCTTATATTTGATTATGTCATTATTTTTCTTCCTGAAATGAGAATACATGTTTAAAAAATGACGTAATTAAAATGTTGACATTCAAACGAAAGGTTCGGAAGCAAACTCTCATCCATACTGGAAAGAAACAAAATAGTCACTGAACATGAGAAAACTATTTTTGTAAGTGTTGTGGAAGAAAATGTCTCGGCGAAGGTGTTTGAAACACGGATTAGGTACCCAAGAAGACGTGCAAAATTTGGAATATGTAACGATCATATACATAAATACATTCATATACATAAACACAATATATATATATATATATATATATATATATATATATATATATATATATATATATGTATGTATGTATTGTAGAAAAATAAGTGAAATTACCTGCATATGTTGGGTTGCGGTCGAACGTGGAAGGCGGAGTGTTTGCCATCGGTTGTTTTTTCAAAGCGAGACCGGTGCGAGTACTGTTTTTTTGTAATCTTTTTACTGGAAAAAGTAGGATGCGCAGGTCTGTCACCTTGTTACTTAAGGCTTGCCTTCGCTCTCTTCTCTTCTCTAGGCAGTGTTTCGCAATACTTACAACACTGGACTGGCTTCTGATTTAGCCTTTGAGTTGAAAAGAATTTTCAACAATATATATATATATATATATATATATATATATATGTAACAGATAAAAAATTCGTGAGTAAGTAATCCAAGTAGATACTATTAATATAAAATATTAAAACTGATCCACAGAAGAGAGTTCAATATATTTTTTTTATTATAAAGCATATAAGTGAATAACAATGAGATCCAAACAATTTACCTTATGCTCATTTAAGGACATATGGCACAGTGGATAAAGGCGTTGGTTAAATCCAGTGACAGGACCCAAAGCGTTGTGAGTTCAATACCTGGTTAAGGCAATGGAGAGGTGAATTAACAGGAAATAACTGATAATTGGCATCTATTAGACATGGCACGTAGAACTAGAACAGTTTACCCCAGCGATCGAAATAAAGGGTTCAGTTCGACATTCCAATCACCTGAAGAAGGCCGGAGCTTACAACGGTCGAAAAGTTGTGATAAATATGACAACAAAGATGAGGACATTAGTCCAAATAATGTAAATAGTGAACATAATACCTCATCTCAGAAATATATATATATATATATATATATATATATATATATATATATATATATAATGGAATATGCATACACTTGTGTTACCCCTCACTGGAATATGATTGGCTGGTGTCCGTCATAAATACCGACGGACGTGTAGGGAGAGTCAAGATCCTTAGTCTGAGAGCTAAGTCTATAACGACGCCCATTGGACTATGCCATTGATTTACACTTCTTACCTGCGACTACGACGCGTACCAGTCGATTACTGCTACCGTATTCTACTTGGTTATAGTAGCCAAAACCACTTAGCTACTTCGTTCAAATATGTCCCTTTCGGGACATATCATATATATATATATATATATATATATATATATATATATATATACCTAGTGAGCCAGACAAAGTCAGGGAAAGTAAGGCCTTACTTTCCCTGACGATCCGTTTAGGTGAAACCTAGGTAGGCTTGTTTGGCTCACTCGGTGTATCTAGGTCTGCTCTACGGTTGTATTGAGCTCTTTTGTTAGTTAGTTGTTTACTCGTATCGGGTTTTTTTCTTTGGGCTTCAGACCTGCATCTGTGCGATTTTTTTGTCGGCAGAAGTTCATGTTTGTAGCTCTTTCTTTTTTAAAACCTTTTTTTCCCTCGAGATTGATTTGATTATTAGAAAATCAAAAAATTCGAGGGCTTTTCGAAACGAATCTAGTTATCTATAATTATATATATATATATATATATATATATATATATATATATATATATATATATATGTATGTATGTATGTATGTATGTATGATAGAATATAGTTTTAAGGTAAGCTATATTTATGGATAAGGTGTTCAATATCAGCGATATATCATGTGTAAATATAAAAGTGGACACTGAGGTCAACATCGAGTGGTCACAGTCTGTTTCCCGCTTGAACCCTTTTTTTCATGTCTGAAATAGTTTTGTATTCTCATATTCTATATTTAATGATTTTTTGATATATGACGAGTCAAGGCGAGTTGCTCCCAATCAATCTAGTTATGGATGAACAGTCCATAAATGAAAAAATAATAGCGAATATAAAAATTAATGTTTTT